ATGCAATATCTGCGAAGCGCAATAAAATGAGGTATGCCTGTACTCTACAAAATAGAGGCTTCCTTCCTGCTACATATTTAGCTGATGTTTTAACATGTACATACAGATATTCTTTTACATTTTTTGTTACCTACTAAGTCGTTAGTATTTTGACCAAACTGGCAGTCATGGTGGCTCCTTATTTTTCTAGTTAAAAAATGACTGTTTGTCACTTCTAAATACAGATCTTTGCTTCTGCATACCTTGCCTGTTCTTAATTTTTCCATTTTATAATTGTTATAGTTGTGAGCTATTCTGTATTTGAATTCCTGTAAATTGGTTGTCTGCACATATTACTACTGATACATGCAACTTTGTTTTAACAGGGAAAATGGCAGGATTCAAAATACTGGCAGCTGTCTGTAGCAACTAAATTACCTGAGCTGATAGAAAGCCAGCGAGAAGGAGACAGAGGATCCTCAGACTCCAGGAGACGAGGTCGCAGCTCTAGACACAGATCAAGACACAGAGGACATAAGCGGAGTCATGACCGAGCATATGATCGTTAGCTTTGATTAAATTTGCAGAAGTGGGACTAAAATATATTTTATGGCACTGAATAGGTTGCTCTTTTAAGTTTCTACTGCCTGCAAAATCTGTCATTCAAGATATTTTTTTCCCAGTATTGTTATGGATGTAAGTAACGTCCACTGTATGGAATTAAGTTTAGTTTAAACAATTTAAGTCCAACCATTGTCTCCCTCTCAGGTATGTCCAAGGGTGTTCATCAGCATATTCTTCAGATTCTTATTCCAGGAGAGGGGTATTTGCATTCAGTTCTCTAGGTTGGGCTGTTATAAAACATAGAGATCTTCACTGGTGACTGAAACCTGTACATTTCCAAAAGAATTAAAACATTATTTCTACAAGTTGATCTGTACATAGTGGAGTGATTGTGTTGTTAATGATGTAGAATGCATGGCTTGAAAAGGATTTTAACTACACTTTTTAAAGTAGTGTGGGGGGAGGAGTACACAAGAAGACTTAGATGTAGTCTTTTAAAGTTGCATTTAAATCGGATTGCATTCTTAAATTTTCAGTGCTTTAGATGTTGCTTTATTTTTCTTACTTAATGTAGCAAATAGTGCACTGCATGTGTTACCTGTATCTGCAAGAAGTGTGCTTCACGTTTAAAAACCCAGTGCTTGCGCACGCACACTGTTTTGCTACGGGGGACTGAATAAGAGAAGGGCAGAATGAAGGGACACAATGGTTTATGATAGACCAAACGTTAAGCTGCTACCAGATGATAGTTTAAACTCAGTCATACTGTGTATATCATCTCTATTAAACTGCTTGTCTGTTAGTTTTTCTGTTAGCTTAAGTGCTGGGAATCTGTGCTATGGATCAAATAGCCTAAGTCCAGAGGTCCATATAAGCAATAAAAACTCTTCTGAGGCATCTGTCTTTGGTATTGATGACATTTTGATTAAGAATGATATAAAATCAGTATGGCACAGAGTAAATTGTCTTGTCTGACACATCTCAACATAATTATAAATGGGGAATCATCATAGAAAAGGTGCTTTAAGAGCAAAACCTGAGACCCTGTTAAAGAATGTTGATCAACAACCTGCAAGAAAATGAAGTTGTTATTGAAAGTCTACAGATGGAGGAGAAAAATAATGAAGACAGATCCCACAAGAAGGGGGTCGAAGTGTTAGGAGCATACTGCCTGCAGGCTGAATCTGGCCTATAGAGCCCCTGTAGACTGGGGTGGGGCTTGGGCAGATTTAAGCAGCAGGAGGCTTTGCCTGCTCTGGGTGCTGGAATGTGTTGGGGCTGGATGACTGTGAGCTGTGCCAGTACCATAGTCAGGAATGGGGAGAAGTGGCTGTAAGAAAAAGTCATACTGGCTTGGACCTGACCTGGGTTGATGTGGTCCCTGACTCTGAGTTGCCACCTGCTGATCTAAGACAACATGAAGAATGGCTCCTTAACCAAGAACAAAGGCTACGGGTGGCAGCTGCAGAATAAGGATTTTTCTCTGGAGAAAGTGACAAAGAAAGAATTGATTCGACTGGTTGCTGATGTATCATCAGCTGAATGTGAGAATGTACTATAATGCAGCAGCTCCCTTTTAAGCATATATGATCTCATGTATAAACATGAGAAGAACAGAGAGGAACCTGGAGGCTGCATTTCCTCTGAATTTGGCTCTGGACTACAGCATATCCAGCACAGCTGTTCACAATTCAAAATGGACTTGGTTTTGGGGTATCAGGCTCAGGTGCTGACAAAGTTAATAATGTCTAGAGCACAGCAACAAATGTAGGAGGTATTTAAAATGAGATGTGAAGAAAGGCTAAAGGATCCGTTTTAGCTTGAAAGAAAAAGCTGAGGGGAGACAGCAAACGTCTCTATCTACATAACACCTGTTTCTAAATACGAGGACGACCTCCATAGCCACTGAAAGATTTCCTCACTGAACGGGGAGCAGTGACACATGAGTCCTAGCCCTGGCCCTGCCAGGATTAGGTTTGCAAACAGCCCGACAGAAGAGCTCAACCCAAGCCGGTTTCATTGGAGCCGCCGCTTGTGCTCTTCAAAATCTCTGGCTCGGCAGCTGCGGCCGAGCTGCTCTGGCGCTTGAAGCGCTAAGGCCGGGAGCCTCCAGCCTCATCCCCAGGGCGACAGCGGGCGCCACGCGTGGGCCGAGCTACCTCGGAGGCAGAGCTGCTCGCGGGGAGGGGGGTGATCGGGGCTGGAGCTGGACTCGCAGACGCGCGAGGGAGGAGGAAGCGGGTGGCAGTGAAATGCCGCAGTCCGGAGGCCTCTGCGCGGGGTCCCCAGACTTAAGCCTCTAGTCACAAACGCCTCCCCTAGGCCCCGCGGTAGCGTTAGGTGCCCAGAAGTCACAGGCCGCGCCCAGGCGAGTCCTGCCGCTCCCAGCAGCTCCTTGCCCTCGGCGCGCCCGGGACCGTCACTGGGGCGGGGCGAGCAGCCGCAGCAGCAGCAGCATGGGCGCTGCGTGGAGCCTGGTGCGGGGGGCGCCGGGGGTTCGCGCTGCGGTGCTGTGTCCC